GGGGAGGGAGGGAATTCCGGAGGGAGGTAGCACTCCCCTTGATAACAAAGGCCTGTGGCCCAAAGTGGGGATAGGAAAGGGTCAAGAGAGGGAACAGCATCTGTGGGCCTGATAAGATTCAGAGGGGAAGGACACAGACAGGCGGCAGGTACAGCAATCGGCACTCCAGACCCTCAGAATGTGTGCATAGCCACGACCTTAGTCAGCTGCCCTAGAGAGATGAGGGAGTTAGATAAGGAGATGGGAATGTCAGCCCAGCACCCCGTCTGCTCTCCTTCTTCTGACAACTTTGTCCGCGGCTCTGTCCTGGACTCAGAACTGCTCATTTTGTTTGTTTTTCGCTCTATGGTCCAGCCTGGACTTGAACTCTCAATTCTCCTTTCTCATCTTCCCGAGTGCTGGTGTTTCAGGTGTGTAGTGCTCCAGGTCTGCCCATCTCCTTAAGTTATTCCCTTTCTGTTTTAGATTTACTTTGTTGATGTATAGGAGTGTTTTGCCTGCATGTACACATGTACACCGTGTATGTGCTGGTGCCCACGGAAGTCGGGAGAATCAGATCCCCTGGAACTAGAATTAAGGATGGTTGTGAACCACCATGTGGATTCTAGGAACTGAACCTGAGTCCTCTGCAAGAGCAGCCAGGGCTCTCAACCAATGAGCCCTCTCTCCAGTCCCCTCCTTATGCTGACTGAAGAGGCTCTCTTTTCTTTCCTCAGGGTGCAACCTGGGCCACCCTGAGAGATAAAGACTCTCCCTCCCCCTTTGTCCTCAGCAGACATTCCTGTCAGCCTGTGGCACCTGGCCTGGCTGGCCAAGGCAGCAGTGACGTTTAAAGCCTTGTTTCCATGGGAGACTTATGAGCCTCCCTTGGATGGGTCTGTTGTTATTGATATGGTCTAGGACTCGGCAAACATGGGCTCTGTTACCCAGTGCACCTGAAAAATGTGCTGCAACCTTTCTGTTAGCACAGCCCGCCTGCGAGCAGGGCCAAGTCGCGTCCTTCAGCTCTCTCAAGGGTTTCTTGACAGATACTGAGTGAAAAGGGACATGGCTAATGTGATCTGAGAAACCTGAATAAAGCTGCTGCACAGAGTGCCACTGAGTGCTCATGGGCCTGGGCTGGGGAGGGCTGGAGTGGGCGCTGCAGGGCTGTGTGTGTGTGTGTGTGTGTGTGTGTGTGTGTGTGTTCTAGAATGTTACATGTTTGTGAGGGGGGCAGATCAGAGGCCTCAGGTGATACCTAACCATGAAGATAAGAAGGGTCCACAGCACTCCAGTACCCCTGGGAGGAAGGAGGGATAGGGAAAGCCACAGAAGGCACATGATGTATATGCATGAAAAGGTCATAATGAAATCAAATATTTTGTATGCTAACTACATATTTTTAAGAGCATGGTTACATACGAAAACTGAGAGGGGGGAGGGAGGGAGGGAAGGAGGGAGGGAGGGAGGAAGGGAAGGAAGCCCCAACAGGTTGTGGTACGAACAGCTGGCTTTGTGGACAAGTACCGAAGTGACAAGGACTGGCCCTTAGGTTTATTCTGTTAGTTTAGACAGAGTCTCACTGTTGCTTAGGCTGACCTTGAACTCCTGGTCTCAACTGATCTTCCTCCCCAGCCTCCCCACGGAGTAGCTAGGTTGACAGGCTTGCACCAGGGTGTATGGCTTGGGCTTAGGTCAGGCCGGAGGCTTGTCCTAGGCAGGCAGGTGAAGGAGGCAGGTTTTCAGTCCGCAGAGAGCATGCAACAGTGCCTTATGCCGGTATCTCCCATTTGGACAACGGATACTGCCTAGCTGGTCTCCAGTCCACCCTCCCCCACTCTGCCCGCATCTACCTCTGCACAGTAGCAGAGTCCTGCTGCCTCTCTTGAGCGAGTTTCTTCTCCCCCTTACAACCCCCCAGACTCACAAACTCTTCTTGTGCTGCAGAAGTTCCCTTCTCTGGCCTCAGCTGCCCCCCCCCCCCAATTTCTCCTGGCTCACCTTCCTTTACTTCGTCCACTGCCTCCCAGACCTACAGTGCTCAGTGCTCACTTCTACCCTACAGCCTGCAAGTGCTGTGCTCTCTGCCGGAATGTTCTTCCTGCAGGTCTTTGCGAGGCTGCCACCCCCCCACCCCACCCCCACCCCCGCAACCTATGTCTGGTATCATCCAGTCCCCATTAGAACTGTATGTAAGATGATCCGCGGTTGATAGGACATTCTGGTTTGTCTCTGGTTTGTGAGCTGGGCACCATGTCTCCTGTGGTCTCTGAAGTGTCTGCAGCAGAGCAGGAACTCAAGGATGGAGGAAGAGGGAGGTCTTGGTTTAGGTTCCCTGGAAGTCATCCCTGGGACAAGGTTTCAGGTGTATCCACTGCTGTGGGAGACAGCAGGGGAGGGAGATGGGACCAGGGAAGGGGAGGCAAAGGGGCCTCTCAGCCTGAGCTGTCTGCACCGTGGGTGCCCAGTGGGCGGGGCCACCCACCTAGCCTTTCCCAGCCCGAGGGACAGGGCATCAGGTGCCAAACAAACAGCTCTCTCAGTTACTGGTTGAGGCTCTTCTTGGGACTGCGATTTCTATCACTTCTGGCCTGTGGGGACACAGCCCGAGTGGCCTGAAGGTACCAGAGAAAGGCTTCAAGTGGGTTGGTGTTTGTGACAGAGAATACCGCATTAGCTCCTATGGAGAGAGAGCAGATGATAGGCCTGGACCTCAGGGACAGCCCAAACCAGGGTGTCGCATAGGGGCGGGATTCCACTGCGAAAGGACCTGCGGCCATTGCCTTCACAGTGTTCAGATGCCTTTGGCAGCCAGCCCAGCTCCAAGTGGATAATGATCTTTCTCATGTCGCACTGGGGGAGTCCAGAGGAGTCCCTCCAGGGTGGAAGGCAGGGGGAGTCCAGAGGAGTCCCTCCGGGGTGGGAAGGCAGGGTCTGGCGACCTCAGCTCCTTCCCTGTTCCTGTGGGTATGTCAGCTCTGCCCTCAGTCCAGCTCTCCTCCACGGCCACAGTGACTTCTGTGTCTCCATGGTTAACATCCAGATACCACAGCACCCAGAGATGGCAGAATCTCTCGTTGGGAGTCTCTCATAAGGACAAAGAAACAACTGATTTCCCTTCATGTGCCCCTACATCAGTGAGCCACCAAGTGTCAACATGAACAGTTTCAGGTAAGAATGACATGGGACAGGTGACCGGTGGCGTCTGTGAAACACACTTGCCCTCCCCTGCCAAGGGGAGGCCGGCTGAGGAGCCCTGAAGGGAAGATGTGCAGGGCATGGCAGCATTTGACAGGGCCAGTCTTGAAAGAATTGTCTTGGCTTTTGATCTGTGAAGAGCCCCTGTGCCCTGGCAGATGGTTTCCCAGCCTCCTTGCATCCCCCAGCAGCCCCAGGAGGCAGGGCCCGGGGCAGGGGAGTTTGTGAGGCTGGCGGGGCGGAGGAAGTTCTGTTCCCCTTGGCAGGTGTGCGTTGTCTGTGGCAGCTAATTACTTAGGATGGATGACTCTGACTGGGCTTCAAGCCCTCCACCACTTTCCCTTCTCTAGCTGAGCTGGAGCAGGTGGTGGAGAGAGCAGAGGGCTCCCGTGATGGCCTGGCCACTCGTGGGGCTATTTGTCACTGGGGATGTTTATGCCCTACCTGAGGCCAGAACCCAGGCAGAACAGGTGGTACACCGAGGGCCAGGGATGGAGAGGCCATAGGCGTTAACCCCTTTGGCACTGTTCCTGAAGGGATGGAGAGGAGAGGGGCTGGAACGGGCCAACGGAAAAAGAATGAGAAGCCACACTCGCCCTGCTTTGTCTTGAGATGGGGCTGTCATGTAGCCCAGGCTAGCTTCAAACTTCCTATGTAGCCAAGGATGACCCTGGTTTTCTAGTCCTCCTGCCTCTGTCTCTAGAGTGCTAGGGTCAAAGGAGTGTGCAACCATGCCTGGTTAATGTGGCGCTCCTAACTGGGCTACATACCCGGGCACGTTTCCCTGTATTTCAAATATTTGGAGCTGGCTGAGGCGGCTCGGCATGTAAAGGTGCTTGCCATCCAGCTGGATGAGCTGAGTTTGATCTCCAAAACCCAAATAATGGAAGGAGAGAACCAACTCCTACCCTGAAAGCTATTCTCTTCTGAATGTGCACGGTGGCACAAGGGGACACACACACACACACCCCACACACACCTGAATGTAAAACATTAACAAATATAAAATAGTTGGAGATTGAAACCATTACTTCATGGGCTGGAGAGATGGCTCCACAATTCAGAACACCAGCTGCTTCTGCAGAGGACCAGGTTCAGTTCCCAGCCTCTACACGTCAAGTCATGACCACGATGCAGTTCCTGGGGGTCTGGCATCCTCTTCTGGCCTCTATAACCACTAGGCAAACACATAGTTTACCTATACACATTTAGGTAAACAATTCAAAACATGAAACAAAAAATATTTTTTTTTTTTGATTTTTCGAGACAGGGTTTCTCTGTGTAGCTTTGCGCCTTTCCTGGGACTCACTTGGTAGTCCAGGCTGGCCTCGAACTCAC